GGAAAGGAAACAAACTCATGACATGGTGATTGGAGAGGCCAAGGGTGTAATTTGGAAGAAGCTTTGGACAGTTTAGCCCCATGCGTGGCCGAGAACTCCTCACCCTGCACCCAGCCTGTCGAACACAGCCGGCTGGCCCCGATTCAAGTTTAACCCCTGGGAGCTGTGGGCTGCTCTGTACATTGTCTTAAGCTGTGGAGATGCCATTTCCAGCTTCACCTCGACACCCCCAGCCTTTCTCTGCAGCTCACTCAGTGTGGGCAGACCGGCAGGTGGAGCCTGCTCCTCACCCAGGGAGCAATCCAACAGGAATTCCATCCCCAGCACTTTATTTTGCCATTTACTCTAATCATGAGAGGACTTGCTCTGGATTGCACTTTCAAGTAGTGACACATTGGTTGCTCCAGGTCCTGGCATAACTTTGGCATTTTGCTGCCTTGAACTTTCCCTCCTTGCCTACCAAGGCTGTGGATGTCTGTACTGATCCAGAAGGAATATTACAGGTAGGTAACTTGATGGTGTCTCACAGTAGTGAGGACTCGTAGAAGCAGCTGGGATGAAGCTACACCATCCTCTCAAAGGACTGTTATTACTCAGAAGAACAAGACACACAGTTCCTTCACAAATGGAAGACCTGACATCTGTTACTTGTCCACATTTCAGGTCACACTGTTGAAGATGGATGTTCCATCAAAAGCACTGCATGGTGCTTTTAGGATGACTTCACATTCCTGGTGTCTGGTTCAGGTATGTTGTTTTTCCCATCCTTCTATAGGAAGACAGAGACAACCCTCCCCAGTCAAAGAAAGCAAAATTAGGATTTATTTTCCACAAACATTTATTTATTTTTTAAATAGTGTTCTCTCCTTATAAAGCAGCTCTTCAAGTCATGTTCCTTTTACCACAGTGTCTTTGGCATATTTTCCTCCTAGAACTTTCTGTAGATGGTATAAAATGTAATTTTTATTTTTTTTATTTTACAGAAAAATAAGTATTTAAACCACAAATTAATTCCCCAAAGTATTAAATAACATACCAAAAACTTTATCAAATCTATGACATACACTTGGGACAAAACCTTGTTGTGTATGTGCATAATAATTATATATACATTTTTAGCTTAAGTTAGTGCTTCAGAGTTATCGAGGAAGCTTTACAAAAAACCCAAATGCACAGTTGCAGTACTGCTAGAGTTTGTCACACCGTTTGTGGAGTCCAACAATGCACACGACACACTGCATTTAAAAGTCTCTGCCTGAACAGGCAAACTGACGACTCCGTTTTACACTTCAGTTTGCAGAAGGTCAGGATTTTATACAATTACACGGTAAGTCCCTTTCCAGATTTTGTGGAGTTAAGAACTGAATCTAACGGTAGTTATTCCCTACAGGAAAACACATCTACCAGTCAAAACAACAGGGTCATGCACATCAGAACCCAAAACGTCGCGTGGAAGTTCCCACGGCGAGTTGTGACGTCCTTCCGGTCGCACTGAAGGTGCCATTCATTTCAAAGCAGCATTACTGTGCTGAGCAAGCTCTAAAACAAGACTTGTATTTCTTATTTTTGTCTGTGTAGTGTGACACATACACAGAGCGTGCTCAGCTGATAAACAGAGTCCTTGTGTCCAACGCTTCACGTGAGGGGGTCCCATCCAGGTTCCTTTTCCCACAGAGAGCCTAGGAAATTTTGCAGCTGTTTCTTGTACAGTTTTTTGGTGGGCTCTGTGGTGGACGGATAATTTTAGCTTTCTTTAAGCTGTTCCTTTTATTGATGTTGCTGGATGTGAGGGAGTACGAGCGTCCGTGCATCATCCTGGCATTAAGGCCATTTGCCATGGAGAAGGATTTGAGGTGGCTTCTTAAGGCAACAGGGAGAGGGAGCTTGTCAACAAGATGCACAGGGGTACAGGAAACTATGGCACGGCAACAAAGGTCTTGCAGACTCAGTACTTAAAAACAGACATAAAATTTGTATTACAATAGCACGCTTGTCAGGCAAAGGGTAGCAGCACACCCAGCACCCTGTACTTCAGGATGAACTCCCATCTCTCCTCCCACACCCTTTCCCACATAGACATTATCCAAAATATCTACTGCTTCAGTTTTCAATTTCTCTCAATACTTAGATGATTGAGCCTGTCAGTTCTAGGGAAGACAGGTTACTCCCTACAAAAGCGAGCAGCTTGTGCCTGCAGAAATACTATTCTCTGTTTAGAAAGCAGATTGTCCCCAATTCTTCTTTTTTGGTGTTTTTGCATCAGGATTAGAGTTTGATTATTTTATATGTATGAGCCATAAACCTTAGCCAGGACTTAATTTACACATTTGCAGTGTACATGGCTTACCCTTATTTGGCCTCCAGAGCCTGTCCATTCCATGTCTCATCAGCACTATTCTTGCTAGCTCGGTAAAGGACTCTGTAATATTGAAATTACAAAGTGGACTGACTTCAAAAAAAGTCATGCCCAGCCTCTCAGCATAGGCTTGTGCTTGTTCGGTGGACACTTGGCGCTTGAAGGCTAAGTGAAGGCGATTCCCAACTAGGATTTTTGGTACACCAGGAGCATGCTGAGCAAAGAGAAACAATAAATTAGTTGTGTGGCTTTCATTTTCCCCTCCCCTCAATTAGAACAAACAGAAGCTTTTTCAAGCTGTAAAGACTAAGTGGCAGGTTGGACCAGATGATCTCTGGAGGTCTCTTCCAGCTTAAATCATTCAGTGATTCTCTGATCTAAAAACATCCCTTCCTCAGAGCAGACAGGCTTCCACAGATGATGTGGCAAATCTCTAGCAAGAGTGGGACTACAATATGAAATCTTCGCCCTCCATATGCTTTCCATCAACACCTTTAAAGAAATCAGACACTTTGGCTGATATGTTTCCAACTTTCTAGAATTATAAACATAGAAATAAAATTGTAAACTTGGCATCTTGGATAACTGCAGTAAGCAGTGCCTGCAAATGCCAGTAAAAACAGTAGAAAATACCATCAGCAGTCAGTCATCTGTTACAGACTAGTGACACCCTGGGATTGTACCTTACCTCATCTATTTCTTTTATCCATCGATCAATTCCATCAAATGACCAACGATTTGTAATATCATACACTAGTATTACTCCCTGTAGTAAAAATAATATTAAAAATATTAAGAATTGTAAGTTTAACAGAGGCATAATGCAGAGAATACTATCTGTAAATCCTCCAGTTCCAAAAAATATCTTGTAAGATGCTGAGCAGCTTCTCAACGGAGCAGAGCCCCCGCGTGCTGTGGAACCAAGCCCCACCTCTCCCTGTAGGTTACAGACCAGCTAAGGGGCAGAAACTCTCACTTAGTTTTAGGGTCTAATGTATTGGTAAATATTTCTTTAAACAGTGGACAAGTTTGGTTGACCATACACACATTGTAAGTCAGAGCAAATAAATATTTTTGGTCACATTCAGTAGGTTGGGGATTCAATGCCCTCTGCAATTCTGGAACATTACAGATGCAACTCATCAGAACCAATACACAGCATGAACTATAGCAGTACTTTGAAGTCTGAAGCTATAGTGACTTTTACTGTGTCTTTTTTTTTAAAAAAAAGTAATTTCCTTATAGGTCATTACATTTCACTTCATCACACTTTGAACTATCTTTGTAATTTTTACATGACTCTCAACAGTTTTATGTGATCACTTTCTCCTACTTGGCCCACAGTTTTAAAAAGCAGTCCTAGGGTAGCTTTTGCATGAGCAGGGTCAGATAACAATAGCTTAAGCTGTTGAGGTAACCAAGAAGAAGGCATAAGGCATATATTACCCTGTATTTTACCCTGATTCAACTTCAGCCTCTGGATTTCCCCTCCCCAAAAGAAAACCCCGCCCCTTGTTATTCCCCACATTACTCTCAGGGTGTTACTGACTCTGCATGCAATCTACATGAGCTACAGCAGCCATCACGATGCATCCACTCATCCAGCAAGCATTACTCAGCACTGAGAAAGTTGTACTTTGCTTACCTGAGCACCTCTTGAATAAGACCGAAATATGGTGCAGAATCTCCCTTGCCCTGATGTATCCCTAAATGAAATAAATTACGTATATTTTTAAAAGAAGCAGGTGGCCTCCTGTGTGAAGAGTTCAGCTAGATTAACTCCTCTCTGCTGGTCAGTGTCAGCTCTTCCATTAGCCATGCAGTAGCAGTCACTAATGCATACGAGCTCTTCTCCCTCTCAGCAGTTTTCCGCGCTGGCATTCTGCCCTTTCCTCTACATTTCTCAGATTTCTCAGGGTAAGAGGACAAGAACATCAAACTTTACCCTTGTGATCGCCCTTGGAAAACAAAGGCCATTATTCAACTGCACGTATGCCAATAGACTGTGCATTTCGTTCAGTTTGAAGAGAGATTCTGTTTTCAAAGCAAAAGAAAAGTGGGAGAAAACAATAGCTATCGCCAAGGAAACTAGTGGAAAACCAGCAAATTCTTGATTACAGCAGCAGTAGTTCATCATGAGTCCAGTATGATGAAGACGGCCCTAAACAGTCATAGAGAGCACAGATTTTTTAGAAAACCATGTACCAAAAAACCCCATTCTCTACCACCTCAAACCACTCTGCATGAAGTGCTTGGAAGCAAAATCAAATTTATAGGGAAGAACATGATAAGAAACAAAATTCCATAAAGACTTTTTGAGGTCGATTACAGATCTTCAACTGCAAGGCACATTTTTCAAGATATGGTCAACTGTATTGTCAAACATTGCCAATCTGTTATTTTAAGGAGTCCAAAGAACATCCTTGCCCTTCACAAAAAAGAATTAAAACCTCTCAGCCAGTACCTGTCTGCTTCTCACGTGAGCTTTATGTGGTGTTTTTGCTAAACTGTATAACGTGGAAGCCAGAAGAAGAAAAAGAAAGTAGATGAACAAAACCTCAAATAATTAAGATATTATATGGCAAAATACTATTTGCCATTGTCAGTTCTCTGGTTCCTAGAACCTGTCTCTGATTTATCTAGATCATGGTTCCTCAAAAGTCACACTCCATCTCCTTGTCCTGGGCTGACCTTACATCTCTGTCTTTTATGCCCCGAGTTTAGGGAAAAAAAACAATGTATTTAAGAGGCAGTAATGCTGCTGCATTTTTCAACTCGTATCACTTTGCTGAGTATTTCCAAACCAACCAGAAGATGGACATCTTGGAACAACAGTAACACAAAAGCACCCTGACAGAACAAATATTTGACCCTACAGGAAAAACATTTGTTGTAAAAGAATTTGATTTGTTCTTGACATGTTTTTGTAAAGATAAATCACATTAGATTGCATATCAATTAAATAATATGAGCAAAAATGCTGATTTTTTAAAATAAAAACCAACTGTAGTTATTTAGTTGACTACTATTACTAATAAATTGAGCAAAAGGATGTTGTTGTCCAATCGGTGTATGCTTTCTAAGGTACTTTCATAGTTCTCATTACCAGTATATTTTATAATCTTTGAAAGCACTTTGAATCTATCTTGAAGACAGGTATCATCTCTTGTGCCTTTCTTGAGCATGTGTTACGAGTGTCTCCCACAGAGAAACTGCAGGGCTGCCCATCTGACATGAAATGGATGCAAAACAGAGGCAAAGGGAAAGTGTGGCTTACTCAAAGGGCTGGCTGCCTGGCTCACTCTTCCTCAGGTGACTAAATACTTCTGAAGTGTCAGGGAGAACTCCTGCCTTGAAGAGCTCCACGTTTGCGTCTTTGAACTATAAATTCCAGGGAAGGGTGGAGCTCACACTTACCAGAGCTGTAGCTTGATTCGCCGGCCATCCAGAAGAATGGTTGTAGTCTTACAGTCTATACCTGTGGGGAAGAGAGCCATGCACATTTCAGAGCAGCTTCCAGGTGTACCACATACACACAGGCAGTTGCAGATTTCAAAGAAGCTGACCTTAAAAAGCCTTATTTGTCATTAGTACTCTGTGAAGCGCATATGGATAAGGACAACCTGATCATATAAAATCACAAAGATCTTTCATATTACTTAAGCTTGGTCCATCCAGAGCAGATGTCTCAGGCTCCCTTCAGGGTGATAAATGTTCTTTTTCATTCATTAGCATGACAATATATATATGCTTAAAGAGTTTTCTCTCTTCAACAGAAGAAAGTAGAACTTGGCTTTTGCCTTTTCTCTTATATACACGTTGCAGACTAAATGCTGTTCTCTTCCCCTATTGTCTGCTTTTCCTGCTTCCATTATTTCTTCCTTCTTTATCATCTCTGACTCACAGACAGCTCTTATATCTGACATATGTGCCCCTCTCATATAAAAGCAGCAGATGCTGCTTGCCTTTTGTCTTCTAGCCTTTCCCATTGGTAACAGCCTTCTCTGCCCAAAAGACCTATGTACGCTGTTAGTGACCAGCAGAACGCAGGCAGGTTCCATTTATTGCTTCCCATAACATGCCCAGCCCTTGTGGTCGAGCTACAATATCTCTTTTGGATGAGCTGAAGAAGTACTGCAGTGTTTAGGGGCAGTATATATTCTAAGTACACTTAGACATGTACATACATGTAAACATCTCTTATTTTCTCTACATTTTGTAGTCTTTGCAAAAAAAATCTCCAGATCAACATAATACTGCCTTTTTACTGCTAATCTGTCATGTCCCAGGAAGCAATTAAACTATGCAAAAATATGCTCAATTCTAGCATTACTGTTTTCTTGGGCAAAATGGGTGTGTTAGTATCAATTAGATTAGGTAAAACTAATCACATAAAGTGTTTCCAGTTGATCCCTGGAAACCCTCACCGCCAGTGTGCGTCAGTACTTCACCCACAGACTGGATAATTATGAACATTAAAAGAAAGATAAGCTTTTCTTTTATTAAATGTTATTTTTAAAGTGTGTTCAGCATCCACACTGTGCAGCCAAACAACATTTTCACTGGTAAAAGCTTTTTTCCTCATGTTTGCTATGTCATAGTTAGCTTCTTGAATTGAACATTTATTCAGAATCTTCCAAATGAAGCTTAAAAAGCATGAAAACTACCTCTGAAAAATGTACTGAAATATAATGAGATTTGTACCTTGAAAAAGAGAGACATGCTTTGTTTCCTCAGCATAAATAAAACAAGAGGCTATGAAAAACTCATTGACATGGAAGAATAAATGCTTGCAGAAGAGTGCCCTAATTCCTACTAAAGGTTTCAGCACATCTTGCCAGAGGAGCAGGGAAGACGGTGCCAAAGATGACCCTACAAGATACATTATTGTGAGTGACATCAACATCCAGAACAAAGAAGTTAATCTCTACCTCAGTGTTTGTACTGATGAACATAACAAATGCCTAACAACAAGATTAATTTTTTTTCTGTATTTAAGGGGGAAAGATAAATCTAAAGTTTAATAAGAAAATGTACCAATTCCTTGCATCTCTCACTCAAATAACAAGTACTGCATAGCACAGCACCTGAAAACCTGTCTTAAGTGCAAGCACAACCCCAGGTGGACACCCACCACGCAAGAGATGTGCTCTCTGCCTCCAAACATCTTTTATCCACAAGTTAGCAAAATGACCTTCCTGCTGTTCCTCCAGCAGTGTTAGGAAATAGTCAAATCTACAGACCCCAAGTTAAAATAAAAGAATAAGAATGATTAAAAAATCCCAACCCAAAATCAAACAGTCCTGCCACACTGAGCAGACCAGGACATTGAAACTGTTTGTGCATTGAAGGAACAAGTTTCATCATTTCAGAAATTCTTTAAAACACAAAACATGCAGAACAAAACCTGCACAGCACTAAATAACTCATTCCAGCATCCCGTGCTGCTGCTGCTGCGCTCTCCCGCGGGGAGAAATACCTCCACGAGTTTATCTGCAGTTAATGAAGAGGCATAGACCATGTTTAGCAAACACTGACATCCCACACAGCGCACGGACATCCATCATTCTGCTAAAAGACATACCAAGCATCGAAAATTAGTGTTGCATAGCTAGAGGATACACAGCTGAACAAACCTGGCACTGTGCTTTGCACCGCAGACCATGAACTACTGTGAGTCGCTCAGGGTTAGCCACACACATAATACAAAATATTACATTTCTTTTGTATGACACGCACAAGACAAGTCTGAAAAATATATTATTACCAGCTGCTGTTTATGAAAGCATCTTATGGCTTTCTCAAAAGATTTTTAAAGAGGAGATGTATTCAGAAACTTCCTTATTCTTCAGCTATTATGCAGATAGAAGCGGCTGATAATATAACCAGAACATCTCTGCAATTAGCATTTGCCATTAACTAAGAATCAAAACAAAAAACCTTTTGCTGTGAATCATCAGGAACAGCGTGAAACCGTAACAATGAGACCGACAGATGTGGATTGTGCTGTTGTAGAAATCAAATGTCCTTCCAGCACATTATTCACTCATTTAGTAAGACAGAATAGCTTTGTTTGGATATGCAACTAAAATGTATCTCCCTACAAGAAAGGGAAGAAAAAGGTTGCTAAAGAAATAAAATCAACTTTTTAGTGAAGCAGAAAAAATCTCCCAGTGCTTAATACTTTCACACGTCTGTTTTTTAATAAAAAATATTTACTGAAAGCCACAACTGGAAATTAAGTAGCCTGAAACAAGTCGCTATCCTTGCTGGAGGGTTTGGATTGCTTTAATCTAATTGATTTGTAATGGACTCTTTTCTTCTCAAACACAAAATTAACAGAGAGAAAACTGAAAGAAATATTGTTGAACTCAGGAATATGGTAAGATTCCCAAAAAAGCATTCAGCTGTTTGGTAACAACCAGAGTAAATAGGAAGCCATGTTCTGCATGGATGCTTTGCAGCCACTGCCACACTACCACTGATGCTTCGCTGACCACGTTGCATCCGTGACAGCACTGATCATTTTAAGGCTTTCTGTGAATTTCTGCTTCTCTTGAAGCTTCCAGTAGCATACCAAAGTTTCTGGGGTTTGTGATGGGTCTCTTTAGGCCAGAATCCTTCAGTCATTTAAGCTGTGTTCCACCAAACACAACATTTTTTACACCTACAATCTTTTTGGTTTAATAATTGAGATTCAGTGACCCACAGTGGGACTAACAGCCAGTAGTTCAGCTTTGCAGCAGTGAAAAACAGACTCACTGGAAGGAAATTTGAAGCAATGGTCTACAGAGCAACCACTGGTCATACCATGTTAATATAAGTATATGAACATAGAGTAAAATTTAAAATCATGCAATGATTCGACGAACCTCTGAATTATTTGCCTACAAATATATATACATATATATATATTCAGTGGGATTCTGGTCCTGTATTTAATAAAACCCACTGAAAACACCCTTCAGATTCAAAGACTAGTGACTCCACTTTGAAAACAGAGTTTTAGGTTTCAGAGAATGCTTAAAACTGTTTTCTTGTAGGCATGATGAGAATTCAGTGGTCCCATGATTTCACCTTTAAGCTTCCTCAGCTATCTAGCTTTTCATATAGGCATTAGGGTCTAACCTTTCTCTTAAGAACACCTTTGTAACTGTTTCAAGGATAGCTGATGTGAGGCAACATCCAGTTCCATTCACTTCTTGTTCACAGCAAATGAACCCATGGCATGCTGTGGATTCCAAATTCAACCAAGCTTTAAAATCTAAGCCCCATGTTTTCAATACCATGCTGCAAAGTTATAAACTCTTTACAGTAAAACTGGGCCATATCTTTTGATACATAAGCATGAAGGTCAGGTTATGGGACAGTTGTATTTGCCTTCTGCTTTCCATTTCAGAATCATCATTACTTTCCAAATCCCAGTCTTCTCCATCACACTTAATTACTGCAGTAAAAGCCATCTGTTTGAAAAGCACAGATTGCCTATTCAGATTTTAAGAGAGACACTAAAATTTTAGACCTAGACTATATTCTTCACTTCATTAATCAAGCCATAAACCACAACTGCAGAGTCTCACAGATAATTCACTCACTTCAGTGATGTGACAATTTTCTCATTTCTAAAATAAGCAGTTTGTATCAGAAAGCTCAGGCTTATATTTAGCTGTGTTTACAGTCACTGCCACATGCCAATATCACAATCCATCCTTCACTACACCCATTTTCCCTTAAATGTTTGAAGGAATTAAGTTTACAAGAAATCTACGCTTAAAAAAAGAAAGCTCTCTTTAACAATTACACAGAAGCTTTTCATAGTTAGCAAAACTTTTAGGGCACCAGGTTAAAATCTGAAGATCTCAGAGTGCTTTTACTTGGCTCTAGGCCAGACTGTTGTCTTCAGAATGAAAACAAATGCTATGGGAGTAAGACATTTGACACAACTCTGTGGCAGACCTCCAATACTCATCTGAAAACAAAAAGAGCAATTGGAACTCAAAAATCTATATAAGCCCAAAAACTTAGAATGCTAATTTACAGAAGCACTTATTGACTAAGTTTCTATTCATCCTCTTACTATCAGCATTAGTAAGCAAGTCAGTACTTCCATATTAAATTCACACTCTCCTCAGAAAATGCAAACAACTTGTTAAGACCATGTTGGGGTTTTTTTTAATCACACCTTAGCTTGCCAAATTTCTGCTAAGATGGATAAATAAAAACTAAACATTCAAGGCAGATAACTGTTTGGAAAGAAAACTATAATGATCTTTTAACCAAAACTAATGATTGATCTATTTCCACTCACATTAAGAGGAAAGGAAATAAAGATCCTGTGATCATACTTGATTCTCCTGTGTCTTAACATTTACCTGTCAACAATAAAATAGCCTCTTTACAATCTAAGGCCTTAGAAATTTATTTGACAACAAGCAAGAGAACTGTTTCCATCCCCCAGGTCAGGAAGAAGCAGGACCTGTGCACTTCAGTTCATTGT